CACCCACAGTCTCCAGGGCTTTGAATTGCCAGCACTTTCTTGCTGATGAAACTGGTTTTTAACCTTTTTGCTCTAATATTTCCTCCTGATAGTTACTAAGTATCTGGCTAAACGCTGACAGCAGTACCATGCCATAGTCTGAGTATCCTACTCCCTTGAAATTTCTTCTGCCAGGTTAATTATTCCACTGTCATAATGTCAGGCTTCTCAAAACCTCAGCAACATGGGTAAAATGTAGGTGAATTTTCTGCTAGCTTAAACACACAAGGCCACTAGCACGACTGCCAGTGGAGTCGTTTTTCTCAGCTGAATCCTCCTGAACCTGGCCTTTATTGCCTGCGTTTCTGTCCGGCACTCTGGGCTTTTGAGCTCTGACCGGAATCAAGCTCAGCTTACAGCATTCTGGAGCTTTTCTAGCCAGCATCTCTCAGCCTTTTCAAACCCCTTCTACAAACCACATCCAAAGGCTTTGAATCACATGGCTGGGTATAGTCACAGCAGGACCCCCACTCCTGGTACCAAACAAAACCTTAGCTACCTTCTCCTCCCTGAGACAAAATCCTCAACACTCACAACTTAGCTTGGGGTGGCGGGGGATGTATCCTCCCACATCACACCTGCAGTAACCCATTTCTAACAAGTCAGCTGTGGCGCCCTGCAATCCAGTTACCTTCCCCAAACCCCACTTACAGACACCTGAGACCCTGGAGAGACATTGCAGATCCAATCCATAGCCCAGCTGTTCTCCAACTGGTAGATAACCATGGAGGTGACACGAATTAGAAAAAGGGGACAGGAGCTGTAGAAGTGGCCCCAAGACAACCATCCCCAGCACCTGGCTGTGGGGAAGTAGAGGTGGAGTTACCCCCGAGTTCAGCCACAGGACACAGCAGTCCCTTCCCAGGCTTAAGACTCATTGGTGTAACAGGCTGAGAGGGCACTGGAGTTGGTAGATTTAGGGAGCACTTGTCCCCCTGAAGCTGAGCTCTGCCTTAAGTGCGTTTTAACATACCTTATTTCCACAACATGGCAAGGTGTCCAGTGTGTTTCCGGGCTGTACAGCTCAGAAGACAGAGCTGGGATTAGAGCTAAGGTGGTGCTTAGAGTGTTCACACAGTTTGTGACCCTTCCCTGGCAGCCTCCCCGTACACACTCACACAGACACCTCATGGCCTAGGGGGCAGCGTGCATGTGAACCAGGTGCCCTGGAGAACAGACCGGTGGGAGACACATATGTGCGTGTCTACCCATGTACACACATGCATGCTTACATGTATACACATATGTGGACCTGCGTACGACTGAGGGTGTGCTGGAGGGCTTAGCCTGCAAAACCACCAGGCTAGAAACTCTGCAACTTGGTACTTTGAGGCAGCGCCTCCTAATGGGCTTTAGCCTCCAAATTCCTAAGAGCCCCCTGGTTTTTGCTCTTAAATCCTTCAGCAGATCAGAGAGCCCCACCCCAGTGTGGAGAGTGATCCGCTTTCCTGAAGGCAGCTCACTGGGTGTGAGCCACACGTACAGAACACCTTCACAGTAACATCTGGACTAGTGTTTGCCAACCATGGGGCACAGGGCCCAGCCGAGCAGGGCACATAGTGCGGCCACCACAGAAAGCCAGTGAGTGGGCGGTGAGGTCCCGTGACTGGGCTGAGAAGAGGAGGCTCCCGAGGGAGCCCTGTGGCCTCTGGCCGCCCCCTTCAGCCCTGAGGCTGGACACACCCCACACCCCTGAGTTTGCTGGAGCCACCAGAGGCCCAGATGATGACATCTGGAAAGCTGCCCAGCTGTTGCAGGCTGAGAACAGGGCACGCCCACCCATGGCCCAAGAGTCCGCGAGGTTCCCTGTGGGCACTGGAGAGAAGCCCCAGCAGCCCTGGGTGACCGAAAACAGTATGAGAGACCTGGCAGGGCAGGAAAAGCTCTATTCAGCTGCAGTGAACAGGGCAGGTGGTGCAGGAAGGGGGACAGGGCCCCAGTGCACAGTGCAGGGAACCAGCACACACTGAGCCAGTGGGCACATGGGCTATGCTGTCCTCCTGAGCCAAGAGGGACACAGTGCCAGGGACGTGGCTTGGCCCTGGGACCAGCTGCTCAGTGTAACCCAAGGGGACCTCTCTGGAGGTGACATTGGAGTCAGGACCTGCAGCATGAGGAGAGCGGCTGGTGTGGGCCTGGTGCTGCCTATCGTGGAGCAAAGGAGAAACCAGAGGCAAGGCAAGGCCACGGTGAGACAGTATGGCACAGAAGCTCTGAGCCTTGGTGCCCTCTGCCTTGCAGGCTGGGAGAGGTCACAGGGCTGGTGGCAGGGCAGGTGCTCCACAGACAGCTGCAGTTCTCGTCACTATGGAGGTGATGTTGCTGAGGCCCCTGTGGGGAACCCTGTCAGCCCCGTGCAGGTGCAAGAGCAGCTGAGACAGGCAGGCTGGGCCAGGGAGATGGAGATGCGTCCATGCTGGTGGGGCATGGGGATGCCCTGGAGGAGCCCCGGACTGGAGCTGGGGCTGGGCCAGGGGCATAGAGCTGTGCCTGCTGGGGCAGAGGCCACATCAGGTCCTTGTGGCCATCACTGCACTCAAGACAGCTGACAGCTTTTTCTTTTTTGTACCAATTCTGGGGACCCTGAGTGACACCCAGCTTGCAGCTTCTGGATTCAGATTTCTGCGGGTTTCTTAATTTCTGTCCTCTCGGTCAGTCCAACAGCTGTCTCAGTAATTCAGTAATTCAGTGACTGTAAAATACACAAAGGACAGTGATCCATGCTGGAGGTTTTCAGAGGTCACCCACAAAGTGTCTCCCAGTCCATTCCTCTCTTGATCATAGCTTTGCTTTAAATTTGAGGAAATTGGGCTGGGGGTTTAGCTTAGCAGTGTAAGTGCCTACCTGGCAAGCACAAGGTCATGAGTTCAATCCCTGCTACCAAGAATAAAACAAAACCAAAAACCCCATCAAAAATGAAAAAAAAAAACCCACAAATTTGAGGAAATTGCTTTTTTTGGGGGGGTCAAGAACCATATTCTTTAATTGCAGCAAGGCCAGGTGTGGTGGTGTACATCTGTCATCCCAGCACTCAGGAGGCTAAGGCAGGAGGATCTATGCAAGTTAGAGGCCATCCTGAGCTACAAAATGAGTTTGAGGCCAACCTGAACTGCATAGTGAGGCCCTGTTTCAAAAAGATTTTTAAAAATTGCAGGCAATGTCACCATTTTAAGCCAATTCAGTGGCATTTCATAAGGTTGCAGTGTTGGGTAGCTGTCACCACCATCTCAGAACCTTCTCATCACCCTGAAAGGAAACCACACCCACCAATCAGTAGTCACTCCTGGTTTCTCTCTCCCCACCTCTGGCAACCACAGCCTGTTCTCTGTCCCTTGGGCTCGCTGGTCCTAGATGCTTCATGCAAATGGAACCTTCCAGTTTGGGGTCTCCTGTGTCTGTCCCGATTCACTTAGCCTGGCGTTGCCCAGGATTATCTGTGTGGCACTGAGTGCCAGGACTCCCTTGCCATCTAAGATGAGACACTGCATCCTCAGGGTGCATGCTCCCTCCTGCCTCAGCCTGTCCCAGCCCGTCCCGGCCTCCCATTGGTCTTCCCTGTTAGAGCCGCCAGCATGGAAAGCCCCGGGGTTCCCCAGGATGGTGTCGCAGACTGGATGCCCTCAGCCACTGGAGCCAGGCCCTGGGTGAGCGCTTCCTGTGGGCTGGTGAGGAAGACAGCTTCGAGATCAGACAGGGCCAGGGTTGGTGGGGCAGGCTGGGGAAGCCTGCGCTGACCCCTGAGGTCACAGTGAAGGTGGCCATGCCAGTGCCAGACACTGAGCAGCACTGATTCTCGGCTCCAAAGTGGCACAGGGTAGCTGCTACACAGAGGCAGAAGTGGTGGCTCCCGAGACCAGCTCAGTACATGGCACTACAAAGGCCCCAGTGCCCAGGGCCTTGACCAGCACGCTGTGCAGTGGCCCCTAGGGTCTCCTGCCCCACAGCGGGGCTCTCAGTCACACACTGGAGGTCCCTGTGCTCCTTGGTTTCACCTCAGCTTCCCTGGCTAGAGATGGGGAGGAGTGGAGAGGAGACGGCCCAGCTTTTGCTCACTAGCAGTAGCCAGGACAACGCAACGAAATGGTAAGTGTGACAGTTCAAAGAAACTGAGGACAAGCCAGCCTTTCCCAGCAGGTAGCTGTCCCATCTGGGTCTGTCCACAGAGGAAGGGGCTCCTTAGGGCCAGGAGTCCAAGGTGCTGGCTCCAGTTGTGCGTGGTCTTTCCATGTCCCTAGCAGAGTCTCTGTCTTTTGGATGTGGCACAGAGGAAATCCAGGGAACAGAGTTCCCAGCATGCTTTGGCGGCCACCTGTCCCCAGCTCTTCCTCTGGGCTGAGGACCTTGGAGGTTGGCCTGGAGGAGCGGGGCTGCCTTGCTGCTAACATCTCTGCTTTCCTTGTTTGAAGAGACACTTGTCGCCGGAGGAGTTCCAGGAAGTGTTCGGGATGAGTGTGGAGGAGTTCGATCGCCTGGCCCTGTGGAAGCGGAATGAGCTAAAGAAGAAAGCCCTGCTGTTCTGACGGCCGCCGGCTGCGGCATGGCCTGAGGGCTGGAAGAGAACCATACCAAGCCCCAGTACACCTTGCTCCGGATTCTCTGTGTCGTGGGGGGTGCGGGGTGTCTGGGGAGCCAGGTGAGGAGGGAGGAGGCCCCACCACGCCCCTCTTTGTGCCAGTGACCCTCCTGCCTGTAGTTTAGGGCCTGTCAGAGCTTGACACACCTTTCCCCTGCAGCGGCTGCAGCAGGAGTCGCTGTGGCCTGGCTGTCACAGAAGATGGCCAAGGCCACCTTCGCAGCATCCTGGAGTGTCCGGCCCCTGCGCCAGGCACTCAGACACAGGTGGCTGGGATGTGGCATCAGAGGCCGAGGCTGAGACCCTCGGGGCCGCTGCCGGGAGTGGGGCGGGCAGGGCTGGCCTCACGGGTTCAGGCCAGGGTAGGAGAGCAATGCCAGGCATCCAAGGGCTGTGCCACGTGCGAGCTCGGGATTTCTGCAGTGTCAGCCACGGGCCTTGGGGACACAGCCTCGGGCTGGGAGGGCACCGATGCCAGGGCTCCGCCAGGCACTCCGTCCTTCTATGTCATCCCCTAGATGCTCAGTGATATCGTTCGGGTCACACAGAAGTTTTTATTTTATTAAAAAGTATAGCTTCCTTCCACGTCAGAGGACATATATGCAGAGTTTAGTTTCTTGGCCCTGTGAGGGGCACCTCCTGCCTTATCCACCCGCAGGTCCCTGTGGCCCCAATTCTCTGTGTCACCCTGTCTGTCTCCTTGTGTCTCTCTCCCTCTGTGTGTCATTCAGACATTTGAAAACACATCCCTCAAATGCTGTGTGTAAATGTGCGTGAACCGTGCCCACCCGTCTCCCTGCCGTGGTTCTTCCAAGTCTCAGAAAGGAAACCTCCCATTGGCCAAAGCCCTGGAATAAAGGTGTCCACACACCTCCACCCCACCCCCATGGCTCTGGTCTCACTGTCTGAAACTCGGGCCCCACGTACCCTGAAGTCCTCACATGCGTCCCCGACATGCACACCAAGTGCTGTTGGAGCAGGAGGACAGGGACCCTGCCCCTTCCTGACTGCCAGGCACCCACGAGGGCTCGCAGGGACAGGCCCCTGTGTCTGTGCTCAGGTCGGGTCTGATGTGTGGCCATCACAGAACCACAGCATGGCCAAGGCCCATTTGCCCTCCTGGCAGGTCCCAGCTGTCTCTGCCAGGGGTGGTCCTTCCTCAGAGTCCGGCCCTTCCTGGCTCCCGACTTCACACCAGCCCACGGCTAAGGGGATTTTTACCACCTACTATATACTTCCTGCCCTCAGCTGGTCCAGTTGTGCAACTGGAAATCCCCTTTCTTGTTTGCCCAACATCTACCTGAGCTATACCTGGCAAAAGGCAGGGAGAGGAGCGTGGCTTCTGGAGCCTTGAGTGGGTTCCTGGGGGAAAGTCGGTGCCCACAGCAGGAGCAGGTAGGTCCTGTCCCTGCCCCCGCCCTAGGCAGCTGGGTCCTCTGGAGACGTCCTCAGCCTGCCCCGGCCACCCATCTGGTGGCTGGAATGCCTGAGGCTGGGCATCTGCTACCCCGGGGCACGCTGAGGAGACCAATCCCAGACAGCACCCCAAGACTGACCGCTGCTGGATAGAAAAGACACTCAGGGCCCCAGAGTGTCCAAGGTCAGGGGAGCCATCTAGAGTGGGTACTTCCCGAGGGGATGTCTTCCTGGCTGAGGCGGAGTGGAGGGCACACAGGGCAGCTGTGGCAGCCGGGCAGATTCAGAAGCATTGGCAGCTGCCCACAGGGCCGGCAGGAGAGCGGCCAGGAGCAGCAGACATAGGACCGGCGCACACCCAGCACAGAGGCAGGAAGGGGCGCACAGAATCTGGGGGAGGGGGAAGCCCTTGGGTAGGGGCCTACTCCCCACTTCAGCCTTTCAGCTCTCCCCAAACCCAGGCTTTGGGGGTTCGTGCCCACTTCGTTCCCTAGGCTTTCTGAGTTTCATCACCGGAGTCGTGGTCAGCTCAGCCTGCAGCCCTCTTCTCTCTCGTGGGCTGGGGCAGAAAATCTCAGGTTCTAATTCCTACTTGGCCAGGGCCAATCCAGTTGTGAAGCTACTAGCCGCTGCCAGCTCAGCGGGCGGCTCAGCTTAGGAACAGCCCCTGTGGGGATTCCTAGGGCTTCAGGGGTCTCAGCCGAGAAACAGACAGGACCGATCTCTATTTCCCAATATCACCTCTGCCCATCTCCAGGCCAATCTACTGGCTGCCGATGGCACCGGCCTTCCAGGTCAGCACCTGCCGGGTCCTGTGTCAGAATGCCTGGGAGTGAGGGACCCCTGGGTTGCCCTTCCTGCACCTCCCCAGGGGTGGCCGTGTGTGGCAAGGGACCTAGATCTGAATGCAGAACCTCAGCACCCTCTGCAGCAGGAAGGGAGTGTGTGGAGGTCTCCAGGGTCTCTGTTGGGCTCAGAATTAAACCGTGTCCCTTCTATTCACAGCCCATTGGCCAGAACTGGTCACATGACTCCACCCAGCTGCAAGGGGTCCCAGAAGCAGGGGATCCCTGTATTGGAGATGGCAGAGGACAAGATCCAGGGGAGAACTTGGGTATCCTACAGCTGAGGCCACATCAGCTCCCAGTGCCTTTGGGTATCTTCCTACAAATCCCTTTGGGATTATAGGTCTCTTGAGTCTGCCATGCAGACCCGCCATGGGTACCACATGGGCCACTGGACCCTCCGAGTCCTTGCTGTGTGCAGTGCCCCTCCTGGAGGGCTTTACCTGGGCCATGGGTCCCATTCCAGGACCTGAGGTCCCCAGCACAGGTGATGGGACCAAACCAGTGAGGACTTCCAGTGGCCTCGAGGAGGTCTCTGCCCATGGACACCTCTGTCCTGACTGGAGTTCATCTGCCCCCTGGAGGATGATGATGTGAACCCTGGGAGTTGAGAGGTGGGGGGCTGAGGCCAGAGGGAAGGGGAGGAAGAGAAGGAGGAGGTGGCCAGGATGGGGAGAGGGGCAGGAACTCAGGGCAGAGGGGCCATGCTTCAATCAGGCAGACACCCCATGGGAGCTTCAGACTTATGCTGTGCAGAAACCACCATGTCCCCAGGATCAAGAGCACCTGGAGAGCTGCAGTGGAGTTGGGGATGAGCCAGGGACAGCGCCAGAGCCCCCAGGTCCCACCCTGGGCTCCGCGATCACAGTCTCCAGAGCAGCCAGGTGCTTCTTGTGTTTCAGATCAGAACAACCTCCAGGGCCACGCTCCCTGTCCTCAGCCCTGCCCTGCACTCGGTCCTCCCAAGGCTGCCTGCCAGCCATCCACAGGATGCCCAGAGCCTCAGGCTGAGACCTGCCTGGCCAGCCCTGGGGGGAGGTGGCAGAGGCTTCATCACTTCTTTCTCTCTGAGTATGGGATCATTCTGATGTTCCTAGGAGCTGGACCTTCCTGAGCTCCCACTTTCTACATGAGGAAACTGAGGCTGAGAGAGCACAGTGGTGTCTTTAGGACCCACACCCCACTCTAGAAAGATCAATGTGCTTGCTGAGGAAGCAGGGGTGCTCAGGTCACCTTCAGCCTAGCCGCTCTACTGGGCCTCCCGCCTCACCCACGGAGATAGCCCTGTGTTCTGGGGAAGTGAGAAGGCTGGGCCGGGGCACCCACCCGAGGGTGGCTGGACTGCTGGGTTCCAGCTGGGCACAGGTGGGGCACCCACCACTGTGCTAGCGAGTCTGAGGCTCCCTGTAGGGAGCCCGTACACGGGGTGCGAGGCTGCATCCTGTCACTAGTTCCTGAGAACCCCAGAAGACCCTAGCCCCATAGCTAAGCCTTGATCTGGTGGCTTCTACTTAGTTCTGCCCCAGCCGCACTGCCACCTCAAAGCCACCAAGCTGTGCTCTGTGCAATCATTTTGCACCCCCCATCAGAGCTGAGAGATATGCGTCATACGCGTTTGTGCAAATGGCATTGATGACCACAGGGACATCCTGGGGCCCAGCCCACAGTGCACAGGATCTGGGGTCAGGGGAGACACTCACTGTGTCAGGTGGAATCACCTGCCCGATGTGGCTGCTGTGCCTGAGTCAGTGTCCCAGCAGGAGTGTGAGCACCTGTGACAGATGGAGGGGAAAGACATGAACACTCCTGAGGCACTGCCACCCATGCCAGGCCCTGGCCGAGCTCAGCTTCCTGGGTCGGGAGGCCTCTGCACGTGGCACACATCGCACTGGCCCATAGCAAGGCCTGTATCTGCTGGCCCCACTGCCTGAGACGCCCGGGGTCCCTGCACCCCAAACTCATGCACCACCAGCTCCTGCACCCTTCCCCTTGCAGCGTCCAGCTGTCTGGTGCCGACTGGCAGGGACCCTGGGGAGGCCCTCATGGGTCCTGCTACCCAGTGACCTCTCTGCCCTGTCTCTCTCTGTCTGGGCTCTTTTTTCCTTCCCCACAAAGAACAATATTTATTACATTCTTAAAAATGATTCTTATCATTTTGACCAGTTGGCATCCTAGGCGGAAGTAAGCCTTTAATTTTGACATTTATCTGTAAGCTGGCTTAAATTGTAGACAAATGTTTACAAACCCAAAATTGCAAAAAGAAGAAAAATATTTTGAGCTCAGAACAGCTGTTTACAGATCAGACAGACAGACAAACAAGGGCACATAGGACAATTTGTGTGCAAAATTGGGGGCACCCAAATATGTCGGGCCAATTTGAATTATAGTAATTCTTAGTTTTTAAATATGAGACTGTAAATAGACTCATTGGGGCTTTTGTATGTAGCTGAACACAGACCTCTCGTGATCAGTATGAAAAGGAGAAGACCTTGTATACCTGTGAAGGCAGTGCCGGGTGTTCGGTTGCGGCCTCTTTCCTTGACCCGAGGGTTGAGCAAGGCCTGTGCCCCGCACTGAGCAGAATCCCCAGCCCTTTTCATTGTTTGAGATAGTTGCTCAGGTAGGCCTGGAGTTTGCAATCCTCCTGCCGCAGCTTCCCCAGTAGCTGGAGTGACAGGAGGAGCCACCAGGCCCAGTCCAGTCTGTTCTCTTCCGGGCTTGCTTCTTGAGCAGCTTCTTCTCACCTTCCTCAAACTCTGTCCTTAGCAAAAGCTCTTCACTCTGCCTGGAATGTCCTACCCGGCAAACTCCTACTCGTCCTTCAATAAATACCTTGTGACTATCTCTCCCCCAATTGTTAGATTGCCCAGTTCATCATCAGAAATATACCAAGCACGGTGCTGGCAAAACAGAGATAATCAGAGACCACCCCTGACCTTGAGGGCTGATCACAAGCTGTGAAGGAGATGACCAAAGCCAGGGGCCATGCGACCCAGGGAAGTGAGCTGGGACAAGGGCCGGGGAGGAGCCCAGCAGGAGGGAGTACGGTGCCTGGGAGGTTCCCAGGCCGCTGAGTTCCCCTGGACCAAGTCCAGGGGCGAGCAGGGGTCAGCCAGCAAGGGGTGGGACATGGGAAGGGCCTCCAGGGTGGGGGACAGCACTGGTTGGGCCAAGGACAGGAAGTGGCAGGGCGCATCCGGGAGCCAGGCCAGAGCTGTGGTGTGAGTCGGGCCTGCTCAGGGCTGCAGGCTTGTACGTTCAGGAGGGGGACCCTTCCACACCAGCCTAGCATGGCCCCGCCACTGCTGTTTGCTCCCCTAGCCCTGCTCCCCACTGCCACTCCCTGGGACCAGCTCCCTGGATGCCTCCAGGCCCTGCCTGTGCGGTTGGATGATTCCATGTCACGTGGCCGAGCCTGAGGACCGAGGGTCCAGCTCTGATGCTGGACGTGCCGTGCCCCCAGCTAGGTCCTCGGTGCCAGGCCTCTTGCACCTGCAGTGGGGTAGTCCCTCTGTATTGGGGGAGGGGTGTCCGAGGAGACACTTCCGCCCTGATGGAGGCCTAGGTGCAGGCTCTCAGCCCTCAATGAAAGGCTCCTTCAGCATGGGTCTTAAGCTCCTCCTGCCACCTCAGGCCAGTGTGACTCACGTCCTCCCCTCACTAACTGTGACTTCCACTGGAGGCCTGGGTGGCAGCTCCGAGCCCTTTGGGAGGAGCCCGGGGAGAGGGCCTGGGGCTCAGGGCTTTGATACACAGCCTGGCCAGCACTGGGGGGGTCCCACACGGAGGAAGGAGCTAGGAATAAGTGAGTGGGTGAGCGAGGAGCTTCAGCGGAAGGGCCTGAGTCCCCGCAGACCAGAATTGGAGCAACGTGCAGGGACCGGGGCCTCAGAGACCATTCGGCCAGTGCCAGGCTCCATGGAGGAGCCCTAAGGCCGGGAGGGGCGACCACCCAGCGGGGGAGGGAGCTCATGTCCCTGTCAGGAGCTGTGCAGACCCTGCGAGGGACGGAAATGGAGGAGGTTTAGTGTGAGCCATGCTCTGCTCTAGAAGGAAGTAGCTGTCATCTTTAGGGGCACCCACACCTACACTTTGTCACTGCTGGGCTGGTGGGCTGGCCAGAAGGCCCCGTAAGGTGTCGCCCTGTAACTTTAGAAAAGTTCTTTGCAGCCAAACTGGCTGGGCCACTCAGCCCCCACAGGGAAAGAGCAGAAAGAGTGTAACATTCCAATGGACAGGGACAGGGTGACAGGGAGGTGACCCTGACACCCCAGGGCAGGCCTCACGCAGGCCTTCACCTGGAGGAGCCAGCAGCTGCTGAGGCCTGGGAAGACGAGGGAGACTTTAGCCGTTGTTCTTGGACCGCACAGCCACAGGGGCCACCAGGCCTCTCCTCCGCTCTCCATCGCTTCCTTTCCCTTTCCCCACCCAGAGCCATCTGAGGCTGTGCGTGCTCTCTGCCCTGGCCACCCCCCATGGGACAGGGGTCTTCACAGTGAAGCCAGACTCCCCTCTGCCTTGCCCTGGGCTGCCCCGTAGAGGGTAGGTTGGAGGCACCAGACCTGGGGGCAGGGAGATGGGCACGGAGGCTTTGGCCACCATTCTGGAGAGTGCAGGGGTCTGGAGAAGCTGGTGCTAGGAGCTCACCTGGACAGCCCTGTGGCTTCACAGGCAGGAGAGAGAGCCGGATCAGCCCAGATTGGGACCTGCTTTCCATGATGGGCAGGCACGGAGCTGCCCACAGTGAGGGACCGGGGAGCTCAAGCCCCGCCCTGGGGCAGGCGTCCAGGCAGGGCCAGGGCATCATGGTGGGGGTGGCAGGACACGCTGGGGCTGGCAGTGGGGGTGGAGTCACAGACCTGTGTGAGCTGAGCAGGGAGAAGTACAGGGGGCCAACCCGAGAGCTGAGAGCAGGACCCCGATGGGCACTGGCTATTGAGCTGGGGGAAGAGGAGCGGGGCATGAAGCAGGGAGGAGCAGGAGGACCCAGGAGGCCAGGCTCCGGGGGCAGGGGAGGACGGGATGGAGCCCAAAAGAACCCGGCCCTGTCTACCCGGCTGCGACCCTAGTGCCCTTGGCAAGGACCAGGGCTGAGGACCAGGGCAGCCGACGCAACACAGCAGGGCACCCCATGTGGTGGTTGGTGGGGATGGAAGCCTGCTTTATGGGGGCTTCTGGGGGCTCCTCTATTGTGTGATAAAGAGACGGAGCCAATGGAAAGGAGGCAGGGAGTGGGGGTAACTTTGGAGAGCGCGCAGCCTGCTGGCTTGTGGTAGAATTCACTCTCATGTGACCAACTGAATTAATCAACATGTAAGTTCGGGTGCAGGCTGTGTGCTGGCGTCGGGGGAAGAACGCTGTTATGGAAAAACAGAGTCCGTGGGACCAGCTATTCCCCTTCTAGGTATTACTTCAAAGGAGTTAAAGACACCTTCTTCCAGTGATCCGTGTGCCCCGTGTTTATAGCACCGTAACTCAGTAGCTAGGTCTCGGAAGAGACCTGCATGTCCGTACAGATGAGCGGATAAGCAAATGTATTTACACACCGTGGCGCACTGCTCTGCCATGAAGGGGGATGAGCCTGGGTCACTGTAGCAAAATGGGTGTGACTGGAGACCACAGTGCTAACTGGGCTGAGTCACAGCCGGCACAAACAGGCATGCTTCTCTTACACAAGAAGCCCAAAGTACCCCTAATTTAAAGAGCAAGACAAAAGGCAGGTAACATAAAACAGAAAGGTCTTTTGCAAATGAGAAGGGGACAGAGAGTGAAGGTGTGCTCTATATATGCGCCAACTCCTCACCATGGGTGGCTCCACCACGACTGCAAACAAGTGCCAATAAAAATAAGACATGGCGAGAGTGGGTGGATTAAGAGGGCAGAGCATCCAGAGAGGTACTGTTCTATGTGGGGCGGTCAGGACGGTGACAGTGGGTCACATCAGGGCAGGGGAGTCCTGCCTCCCACAGAACAGGAAAGGAAGCTGGTTAGTTGGTGGCATCAGCGTGCTCTGCACAGGTATGGACAACTGACTTTAACTCTTGATTGTTCTGATCAAATGATGCACATCCACTAAGCCCTGATCTGGACCAGCTCAGGTTTGCACAGAAGAGGCCGATCTGGAGACCGACTGTCACTGAATGGGATGTTGAGCACAGTGACACAGGGTATGGCCTCGGTGGTGGGGGAAGCCGGGATATCCCCTGGGGAGCCAAGATAGTGTGGTAGACAAGGTGACCTTTGGGCTAGGCCTTGGAGATTGGATAGGAGTTTGTCCTCGGGACAGAGCTTGTATCTACATACAATGGGTGGTTATACACACAGTGCTATTTAATTTCCAGACCAGCCGGGTAGATTCTGCACATATTTCACTGATGTGGCTAAGGAGGCCCAGAGAAGGGAAGAGATTTCCCCAGGTCATGAAGGTGCTGAGTTTCGAAAGTAAGGCTCAAGCTTTCTCTCTACACAACTATGTCTCTGTTTGCAGAGGCCCCAAGCTGCCTCCTGTGTGCTCAGGGCCAGGTGGTGAGTGCTTTTCTCATGAATAGGGCATGAAGAGTGTGAAGACAGCTAGTGTAAGGGATTGTGATTGGCAGCCAGTTTTCCCCAGCATCATAGGAAGGTTATCCCATCGTCTCTGTGCTCCCACTATTTCAGCTGCAAGGTCATCCGTCACCTCAGTTGTTCTTGGTGGGAAGGAGATGAGCTGTTTGCACCTCCAGCTGGGTTTTAGCATCGTGGTAGGTGGTCCCCCCTTCCTGGTGTGCTTTTCCTTTGTGGTCCTTTCCCTTGTGACTTGGGCTGCACCTACCGACTTGCTCATGAGGCCTGGGAGACAGCAGATGTGACGGCATGTCACTTGCACAGTGGGGTCCAGCCAGACTGCCTTTCACCTCGGGTGCTCTCTTCACTGCCTCTCCCCAGCAGTCTGAGGTCACTGGTTGCCTTGGTGTGAGTGACCCTCGTGCTATAAGGACCTGAGAGCAGCCAGCAGCCAGCAGCTGGCCAGGAATGGCAGCTTGTGAATGACCACAGGAGTGATCTTGGGAGCAGACCCCCTAGTCAGGCCTTTCCATAAGACGTCAGCACAGCCAGTGGTATGCTGAAGCCTCAGGAAGACCATGAGCCCAGTGACACCAGGCTGGGTTCTGCTCCACAGAACTGATGATGGTGAATCTCAGCCTCCGGGCTCGGGGGTTATTTGTTATGCAGTCACAGAAGATGAATGCAGTGGGCTATGAGGGTTGACAGCACTATAACCTGACTTTGTTTCCTAACTTGGGCCTAGAATTTCCCACCTGGGCCCTGTTGCTGTAGGGACCCTTGCTCCAAGAGTTCAGGAGCAAGAAATTAGGAACCTGTGCTGAAACTGCCCTGGAGAACCTTGTGTGTCACTGCCTGGGGAAGAAAGGTGCCCCATTGCTGACACCACCAAGTGGACCTCAGGGTCTCAGACCAGGTCTGGGATTTCCATACAAAGCGTGCGTCCAACTCTTAGTCAGTGAACCCAGGTTTACCGCCCCATAGACAGTTCTGTTTATATCAGGAAGACTGGTAGGAGAGATGGATCTGATTGAGGTCAGTAGACTTGAGTTTCCTCCGAGCTCATGTAGCTCCTCTAGTGGTTGACTAGGTGGTGAGCCTCTTGGGTGTAGAAGTAAGCACAGGCTGGATCATGCATCTTGTCTGGGTCAGGCTGAATTTATTAATTTATTAACCCAACACATATTTGTTGAGCAGCTGCTTATTGGCTTCAGTTTGAAATCCTATATGTAAGGATGATTTGACACACAACAGCTCAAATAAATAGGGATTTTGTTTTTCTACTTAACAGGCAATTTGGGGATAGGTGATCATTGTTTTAGTGCAAGGATCAGAATCCTTCTCATTCTTTTGACTTCTCCTTATGGTTGCAAGATGGCCACTGTGGCTCCAGCAATCAAGTGTGTTCAAGAATGGTCTCTGCTGTTGAGAGACAGCATCGGCTGGGGCTGTTTCTTTACCAAGAGAGCAAAAACTTACCTAGAAGCCAGGAGTGTGCTGCAAAGTCTTCATACCAACATTTTGGGGCTGAAGAGGAAGGGGAAGTCCAGATCTTTTACAAGTGCTGATTTTTGTTGTATAAATGTTCCTTTAGGGCGTGAGTTCAGACTACCAAGACAATGTCG